GGCGCGCTCTTTTGGCTCGGTCCCTGCAATATCCATCCTGCGCTGTACCCCCCTGTACTTATAACGACTTGCCGCTTGTGTTATTATCTCTGGGCATAAATTTAATGGCCAATATTCACAGCTCCACCCACTGTTGAAAATGTTTTCCTTTCTGCCGCCGGAGAGCGGAGAATGAAAAAATGAAATTATTTGCGGGCAATGGATGCGGCAAGGATGGAATCCGGGCAGCTGGGGTTAGGGCCTATAAATTATGATTTAGTTATGGCTTTTGGGTGTATGGGGAAGGAACCCAGGCAAATTGATTTGAAGAGGCTACCCGAAGGTTGTGAAACGGACATTTGTCACAGTTGGTTGATGGATGGATGAGGTACACCGGCATCAGTTGGCGCCTTTTCTTGGTTAGTATCTGCGAGATACAAATCATGCAGATACTTTTTTTGCAACACTTTTTCGTGTTGCGAAATCAGCAAAATGGGTTTGCCAATACCACATGCCATATTTGGTGCGGGAAGTGCCCGGGGCAAGAAACAAGTTTCCATTGCCAGCTCGGCTGTTTTGAGCCATTAGACTCGGGTGTTCGGGTGTCAACCCAAGCAGTTTTTCTATTCATTCGCTCATTTGTTTATGTTCGCTCGTATTCAGATTGCGAAGCTATTGACAGTTGAAATTGCTTACAAGTGGCACACGCAAAGTTTTCGTGGCAGCCTCTTCGCGCGCGGATTTCTTCTGCCCATTGTACCCTGTATCTATGAAGTTGTTTAAATCCGCGACAAGTGCCACTTGAACTTGACGTTTTTGGAGAAAGACGGAGAGAGAAAAAGAGACAGAGACAGAGCTGGCGAGAGTGTGGCAGTCTCAAGAGACAACGATACATTGTTGAAGTTGATGGATTGAAGATTTATGCCACTCGAAAGCGCCAGCAACAACTTAAAAATATTACAACTTTATGGGGAAGCACCTAAACAGTGAAAACTTGGCATTTAATTTGTAGAACAAATTTAAGAAATTATTTAACAATGAAACTGCAATATAAAGAATTTTTACTTTTAGCAATAACCAAAACTAGAAAAGCATAAACAGTGAAACCTGTGATACTGAACATTGAATTGGTTTTTCCTGAGACATTTTCTAAAAAGAAATATTCCTTAAACTTGTTTAGAAAATCAATTAAAAATTGATACTAATTTTAGTTAATATCAAAAATTATTTAAGATTCAAAATTTTGTTCAAAAATATTCAAATTTTTTATTAGTTCTTTAGAGTTTTATACAATTTCCTGTTATTCTTGTTTTCACAATTCTTCAAAGCGAATCTTTACTGTATTCTGATGACTATGGCAGCTTTTCGCGGGCGCTTGCCTTGAGCTCAAAAAAATTGCCAACTGGCTATAAAAATTTTCCATACTCAACTCCGAAAAACAACAACGCAAAAGAGAGGAGCCATCGAAACGGAGTAAGGAGGAAATTGTTAGAGGCCAGAAGGACACCAACACGTGGCCATAAACTGGCGACAGGCAAAAACAATTTAGCTTATAGATTGAGAGGAAAATGTGCGGGGGATCGTTGTCATATTTTATGCCCAAATAGTTAAACGAATGCACAAACACACATAAAAACCAGCTGGAAAATTGCTTGTAAAACATTTTTGTGTGTGACATTGAGAAGGTGGTGGTCGAGGGGCGGCACGCATCTACAGCAAATCTCCGGGGCTCCTCCACACATTCCCATAAATCACAAAAAAGTATTTCCCATTTTTTCTCTCTTACACATATTTATATATATATTTATATATATATATTCTTCTTTTTTTGCCGGCTACATTAATGCGCCTACACACATCTGTGCCTGTTGGGTTAAAAGGAGGAGGTCTTTTTGGGGGAGGTCTTTTTGGTATATGGCTGACAGCCTATTTGCGCCTCATCGCTGGCGGGAAAATCCGGCAGCAGGAGCCGCATGAAAAGCCGGAGCTATAGCGACTCCTTGCCTGGCTCCTGCCAGTCGGTTACTTCGTTTTCCAGCTATTTATGATTTTAGCGCGACAATTTTTTTCGCTTAGCTAAATACCCTTTGAGTTCAAGGGTATATTGGGACAAATAGAAAAGAAGATCAAATATTTTATTATTTTTTTTTGAAGAACTTAAAGACTCTACAACATAAATAAAACAGTAACTGGTTGGTTGCTTTTTTTAGTTATTTAAAATGAAACTTCATTTTCATGAGGAAATTTTCTTTTATAATAAAATAACATATAATTGATAAAATAATTTATTTGTAGTAATAAATTGATTCAAAATAATAATTAATAATTTAAAAAATAATATAATAAATTATGTTCACTTAAAGTACTTGATTTGCTTTTTGAGATTGTTTAATGCAATCTTAACCTAAGCTGATTAAAAGGAACATGGATTCATTCATATTTTAAAGCTCCTACTTGTGTTTCAGACCTAATCTCTTAATACTATATATTTTCTATGCATTTGTAAACACTGGGTACGTTTTGTATCTTTCTTAGAACTTTTCACCACATTTATTTTATTGTTTTTTCTTATTTGCTTATTTTGTTTTATTTGCATGCCGATTTTCCCGTCCGCAGTTTGGCAGTGCAATGTTGTTTACTTAGCTGATATCTGAACGGGAGGCCAAGAGGATTTTTTTCTGGGGTGAAGTAAAGGGGCATGGTGTGGAGTCAACCCGTTGCAAACTCACGAATGTTGTACAAATGTGTGACATTTTTGTGCGGTGGCATGGAAGCAATTTTTTTTTGGAGGTGGGGAATTTGAGGAGATGCCATGTGTGCGTATCCCCTTTTTTTCGAACAACTTTGGTCCGCGTTCTGTCTGTTTGCTCTCTGCACACGCGTTTGGAATTGATTTTTATGCTGTGATTATATTTTCGAAAAGGTTGACGATGAGCCCGGGCCTATATAGGGGGTAAATGTGGAGCAGCCTCCAACGCCACTCCACCAATCTGTTTGCCCAGCAACAATGAAGTGTCGCCCCTGAGTCGAGAACACGCTTGAAAAAATATAAATTAAATTATGCGTTCATGTTGTTTTAATGGTCCTCCCCATAAAGTCAGGGGGAGATTTTTTTTTAACGGGGGTGGACAGATGCTGATAGTCAGTTGGTCGCTGCCCTCACCGTTTTTTATGCGCCTTGTTTAACGATCGGAAGTTATATTCATAAAAATATGTCAATGAATTGTGAATTATTTATGGGGGATAGCCCAGGAAAAAATGTCAACCAGATAAATAAATTACGCGTATTTAAGGGGTTTTGTTAAAAGTCGAAGAGTTTTTGCTCTTTTGCAATTGGTCTTTCTTTTATAAAAAATATGTATTTGCATTTATGCTAAAATGAATTAAAATCATTTTTACTTTGGGAGCATGATCTTAATTTCAGTTGTATTTTTTTTAAATAGGTCATGCAATTTGGAATCTTTTTATTAATCAAATTTAAAGTTCTTTCATAAATCATAAAAATCATTTTTGCAAATTTGGCTACCTTTTATCACTGACATCGATGATAAATAACTTATTTACAATCCAATAACAGGGTATTCATAATTAAATGTCAAAAACTGCGATACGAAATTACACATACGCCGCATTAAACCAGAAAATCTGATGAAAAACACCACGAGAGTTGAGAGTCCACATATATAAATTGGATTTTCTTGCATGGCCTCAAGGCCTTGTGCTCAATTTAGTTAGAAAAATGAGTGTAAAAAAAATGGTTATAAAAATTGAAACTGAAACTTAATTGCAATTAAAGTTGAGTGCTGAAGGAAAGGCGCAAAGTGAGCGAACGCAACGCCAGCGAAATGAAATGAACACCTTCAATTAAATTGAGTTTTGCGTTAGCCAGCGACCTACTTTTCAACACACACACAAAACACACCTAGTCTGAAAACCGGAGGCCGGGGGTTCCGGACGGGACAGGTACAACACCACCCGTAGAGCCGGTTCCGGGCCGGACGTCACTCTGCACTCGGCCAACAAAGTGTTGGCCAAAGGCTTAAATTTCAAACGACAATTAGAAAATTTGCAAATTACATGGACATAGATAAGCTCGGTGAAAAATAAAAAAATAAGCCAAAAGTGAGGAGCGGAAATTTTAATGAAAGGAAAAAGTGAGAGGTGGCGGGGCATCCAACAACAACCAACAACAACCAACTGAAAGTGGCCCAGTCAGGTGGGTTTTTTTGGCCTGAGAGATATTATGGACCCTCCTCTCGTTTCAGCGGGTGTTAAGTTGGTAATTTTATGCCCGAGTTAACTTTTAATTTGTGTAAATGATTTTGTGGATTTTATGCGCCTCATTAAAATGAGTAGAAAATGCAGCCGAGACCAAGCAAAGACATAGCAGAACGGGATTTGCCGGAGACATCTCCGGATATATATTTTGATGTAAATGTGCGGCCATAGCGATGCGATAAATGCCCAAGATAGTTGAATGCTTTTCGGGGGATTGACAGATAGACATTTTAATGCCCCTTGATTTGTGGGTCAGTCCAGCCAGGCAATCACAAAGACGGAGAGAAAGAGCGATGGTCTCAGTCAAATTAGGCAAATATCCCAATAAAGCTCACCGAATGCTTGGCATTTTGTAGGGGAGTTGGGGAAAAAAACGAATTGAAAATTTTTGATTGGATGGGGATTCCAAACTAAATTCATATTAAATCAAAGGTAATCTGAATTTATACAAAAGAAAATGTAGGTAAGTTGAGGGAAAAAGCATTATATTTTATATTATTGCAATAAAAAAGTATGGTTAATCCAATTGTAAAACAGCATATAAATGAAAATAAATAAATGACCTATTTTAAGTATTTATTAACAGTTTAATACTTTTCTTGTTTTTTAATTACTCCTAGCCTTGAAATTATATATTAGCTTTTAGAATTATAAATGTAACATAAATCTTTTAAATAAGTAAGTAAATAACTGTTGACTTTTGACAAATCGGTTTTCAAGTGAATATACAGAGGTTTACTTACAAGATTTCTTGTTGAAGTCACGCCTGAAATGATAACAAAAACAGCATTCATTAGCAAAGAAATTCCTTTTTTAATATATATATAAGTGCATTAAAAAATCATAATCAAAGTAATGTTATGCAAGCTATAACCCGCAGCTCAAGTAACCAAAAATGATTATGTAATCAAATTCATATTGATGGGCTGACATGTCTCGCATACTCATACGCCCTGTTGGCGCAGCTGGAAAAGCCATTTGTCCCGCTGCTTTGGTTTTTGGCCCATTCTGAACTCATTTGAATTTAACACTTTTATATGAAACTCCCAAACGTCGCCGGCTCGTAAAAAACAACAGCAAGAGCAACAGCAACAGCAACAAAGGAAAAAACTTTTTTGGCGCCGCACATTATTAAAATTTCTTTATGACAACCGAGTCGGGCCAAAAGCAAGTTCGGCTGAGTGTCGTGGAGCGTAGTGGAGAAGCTCCTCCAAAGAGCCGGTCCAAAGAGTCATCAACAGCCACAGCAAACGACGACAAAAGGCATAAAAACTGGTAACAAAATATTTGTATTTATACGCGTGTCTGTGTGTGTGTGTGTTTGTGTATGTGGTAACAACAGAAATTTGTTTTGGTCTTTAGTTTTAGCATAAATTAACATAAGATTTATGGCCGGTCCACTTGAAAATGAGACGAAACTAGAGAGGCCGTAAAGTTGCTCTGCGCTTAACAAGTGAATGAAAAAGTTTCGGGTTTTTAGGATATATTTTGAAGGAGAGAAAAGCTTTGCTTTTTCGCTTTTGCTATGGAATTTAATGCGGAATATTCCCAACACAGCACGTGTTTTTGGCAAGGGAAAAGGAAAAACTTCCAGATCAACTGGCACTTCTTTTTCTGCCAGTCTGCTCTTATTTAACTTGACAACTTTGCAGCCGTCTGGCCACATTTACTCCCTTTATCCTCCACGTAATGGCACTTCTTCTTTCTTGACCATACACAAAACGAGCGCCAATCAAGGAGACATCAAAACCGTAACGAAAAACTCGTTTTTAATTAAAGGCATCTTTATATCGCCTTGTTTTTAATTCGTTCCGTTTTCTTGTGGTTCATTTTATTTGCCAGCTAAAAAAATACAATTCGATTTGAATGCTTAAAATCCCATAAATAATTGACAGATAAATGATATGATCATCGTGCTGCCGATGATTATCACAAATGATTTGTGCTCGATTTAATTGACGATGGGGGCGAGTTGGAAAATTATGAAATGCAATTAACTCATGTCTGATGTATGAAGTTGATATATGAAATTTATGACCTTTTCTTTCGGTGTGGGTAAGAAAAAAGGAAATTCAAGAAGATAGTAACGATACACAGAAGAGAACTTTTAGTAACTATTACTATCTGTAGCAGTTATTTCAAGCTTTTGAGTCAATTAAATCAATTTTTAGCAACATTTTTCTCTGTGCAGGCTTCGGAACTCTAAAAATTTGTAGAGTCTGTCAAGCGTTTTCCTTATTAGTGGTAATGCGGTGCCCACACCCCATTTCCATTGCACTCCTAGCCATCAAAGGGTTCCACACACACACTCCAGATTATTTCTCGCGGAAGTCACGTAGTCGCTGAACAATTTGAAAATGAGTTTTGTCGGTTTTACACTCACATATTTCTAGATTTCTTGTTCTGCACTTCGGTTGCGGTCAATGAAAAGCCGCCGCGCCAAGATTTTCAAGCGTGGCAAGAATTGAGCTGCCAGGAATTGAGGAATTGAGCAATTCGCACGTTTGCCTCACTCGAAACAAAGTAAAACAAGGAGATTGAACAATACGGAATACAGAAAATAATTCGAGTAGCGTTTCGTATTGATGGCGAGGTCCCAGACTTCTGGCTCGTTTCGTTTCCAAGAAATACCATAAATTCATCAATTATGACGGCTGGCTATGTGGACAACATTGGACATTGCATCTACGGTTGGGGGTTTTTCAGCCTGTGGAGTGGGACTTCGAGGGGGCGGAGGACCAATGGGCTGGGCCTCCTGCTCAGATTGACAGCTGTCAAGCCCAGGAGCCATGGTGGGTTCAGATGGCGCAGCCAGAAATGCAAGAACAGCGTTCAAATTAAACGGAATACTTTTTAATTAAGGAAGTACAGAAGCTAAGGCAGAGCAGGTTTCAGCTATAAATCACACTTGAAAGATTTTGAATTTAAAAATCTAAAAGCTATCATGAAGATAAAAATAAAATGGACAATAATTATAAATAAACTAATAAATATCAGAAAGTTCAGCATTTACATTTATTAATTTAAATAAATTAAAAAAAGTAAATGAGTAAATAAAAAAATCACTTCAAAATTCAGTATATTAGCTCAAATATATTTATTTAATTTCATTAGATTGAAGACTCGCGACTATAAAATGTAGTTATTTAAATATATTAACAATGTATTAAGTTATTCTTAAGTTAAATAATTTATAAACAATGTGTTTTATTCATTGTAAAATATGAAATTAAAGAGTATTGAATAAATATATATTACAAATTTATCTTATTCCTAAGTTAAGCTGTTTTACATTTTCTAAAGCAACTTTTGAATTAAAATATTTATGCAAAGTAAAATAAACCCCAATTGGTTCCCACAAAATTTAACTAGCAATGAGTTCAAGCTTAGAAAACTACAAAAAATAATTAAACAATTTTATGCTCAACTTGCAATGAATTATTAGCTTTTGCTGTTAGCTTTGGACAACCATTAAAAATCATCTCCACTTTCACTTCAAGTGTATCCATCCAAATAAAGATGTTGCCATATAGATTCCCCGTCATAAAACAGTTTTACTAATCCATTTACGAGACTTTTCCTAATTCAATGGCAGCCATTAAATGGGCGATCAGCGAAGCAACGAATCTGGGAAAATGAACGAGGGGGAAAATGCATTTTCCTCACCCACAATTGCCAACACGTGTGCGGCACGAAAACTAAACTGGCGTCATTTAATTAACCCGCCAGTGCAGCAAAGGGGATCCCCTTCGCCCCCTGGCAGAAATGTTAACCCCTGCCGCACACGGCGACCACATGATGATTACGATGGCGATGAGGGTATCACTGTCTCCCTCTCATTCCGTCTCCCCTCCCTCTCGCTCTCTTTTTACCAGGGGTTACGCCTGGGCTTAGACCTCGTAAAATCGGGGAAGTTATTTTAATGCGCTTTTAATAGACTCACGCTTAGAACATCATCCCTGCCTCACATCGTATTTCATGTTTATGAATGCATTTTTATTATGATTTCAGCTCTTTTTGTTGCTTTTCCTTTGTATTTGCTGTTTCATTTGGTATAATTTTCATGGCTCTACTTTATGATCGTTAATTTTTACTGGGTAAAAGTTTACGACAATTACAAGGAGTGTGGGTGAGAGAATAAAAAGAAAGCGGGGGGCAATTAAACTAGAGAAAGTCAAACAAATCTCGAACAAGTCGTTAATATTGATTTGAGTTAGGCAACAGCTCAATTCGAGACTGAACATTGCAGAGCAAATTAGAATGGATATTGTTAATATTATAGAGACATTCTCCCAACTAATATTAAAATTTAAGTGGCAGTATGGGGTTAAAGGGGCCAAAAACACACACAACCCTAAACAGCCCAAAAGAAACAAACCGAGGACAAACTCATAAATCTTAGCAAGGGACTCCGTTTTCCCCCTTTCTTGCGAAATCTGAGGAAACATGCCATAAAACACATGAAGAAGTGTGTAAATAACAGAAGGAGCTGCAGGATGAGGAAAACCCAGGGCCAGGAGCAATGAAGAGGAAGTAGTAGAAATTTAGTGGAGCAAAAAGCGTTGGACACCTTTAAGAATCTGTTTTTGCCTCGCGTTTTTCCCCCCCAACAAACCACAAACAATCTCACAAAATTTATGTGCGAGCATTTTTTGTTCGGAATGAAATCAAAAACAGACCTCCACACAGGGGGTGGGTCATTAATTTATGTAAAGCACAAATTATGATTGGGCGGTGTGGGGCATGGCAGTTGGGTGATGGTCAGGGTTGTGCAGAGAAAGAAACCATAAAAATACATTTTCCATATTGCTATTAGCGCTTATCAGATGCAGAAGACATTTATCTAAGTTAATTAATTATTAGAATGTCACATAAAGATATCAGAACTAACATATAGTTTCGGTTAACTTGAAGTATTGTCGAAATGTTTATATGAAATCAATCCTCTTAATTATTTGACAGATACCTAGGTAGATATTTGTAGGGTAAATGTGAGGTGAAAAAATGTTTTTGAAAAAAATATTGCATATTTATTGTGTTTTCTTTAATCTCTTAAAATCAAAATAAAATTGATTGAAACTATATCTTTAGAATTTATTGAGAGTGTTTTAGGTGAAAGAAATAAAGTTGTTCTTTAGAAGTAAAAGTGTATAGATATTAAGCACCACAAAACATCGTTTTTGATATTATCATTTAAATGCCTTGTACTCAAAATGATTGCATTAATAATATGAACTATTTATAAGATGGATCTACTTATGAAGTAGAATTCTATTAGGCAATAATGGATCTTCATCATATAATTCTAATATATATTTTTTTTAATATTTTTAAATACGCAATTCCTACACTGTTTTTTTTTCTGTGCAGCTATTTCATTCAGTGGCATCCTTCCAACTAGGCCTACACCAAGTGAAGCGGTAGCAGTAACAGCAGCTGTAACACGTTGATTATACAAGCTTCATGATGAAATCCCCGGAATGTGGACGATGATGATGATAATGGCGCTTGGGGTCTCTGCGGTTTCTTTCGGGGTTTCTTGCTCTGGTTAAGGGTAAGTGAAAAGTACCACAGCAAGAGGAAGCCGTTGCTGCTTAATGGTGCAAAATGTTCGCAGTTGGTATAGAAGAACCAAAATGATTTATGACACAAGGAAGTTAATTTATTAATTTCGCCAGGTCCCGAGAATATATGAAGGGACCCACCGATTGGGGCTGAAATGTTTACAAGCTTTCATTTTTCCGCTCTAGGGGCTCAAAACACAGT